CTGTGTCCAACAATGGCTAAGCAGCTGGCTCAAATGCCATCATTTACTCCTCCAGTGCCGTGTGACAAGCTTCTCTTTGTTCCCCCTGAAGCCTACAGGCATTGGCAGCGTGTTTACCACCACTGCCACACACATCCTTTTCGTATTGGGGGGCGGGTGGCTTAGCCCTGCCAAGGCTGGCACATCATGGGTGAAGTGGACCATACCAACATATCTCCTGAAGGGGAAAAGCAGCAGGAAATACAGTGTGATATACCTGACCTTTTGTGGCTGATATTAGCCGGAAGGAGCTCACTCAAGGTGGGGGTGTTTGGATGATTTTTTATTTTTTTTTTTTTGTCTTGTTGTTTGCCCTGCAGTGAAAGCCCAAGTGGGCGTGTGTGTTCAGACATTGCTGTCATCTTTGTTTAGACATCCTCTGTCAACACGGGAGAGGGCATGCGGAGGTCAGTGTAGTGGTGCGAGCATGATTTCGAGTGGTGATACACATGTAAACAGAAACGGCACCCTTATGGCAAAACCTAATGAGCCCTGACACCCATTAGATCCCGCCCACCCTTCACAGAATAAAGATGTGGAAGCTAACTTTGGGTGGTCAGTACAGTGGACGCCCGCTATTCTCGGGGAATAGGGTAGGGGCCAGGTCGGTCTGCCATCATAGAGGCTATATTGAAAAACATAAACAACACATTATCTTAAATCGTTGGTTCTCAACTGTTGTCACACGGGGAGCAAGAATTCTTTGATTGATACCAAATTCTTTGATTTGGTACGGCAGACTTTCTCCTTTAATCAAACCCCAAATGAAGTCACAGGGTGTGTCGAGTCTCCTGGCCGGCCACTCATACAGACCATGACGACCCACATTCACCTTGTGGAGGAGTGAGCATTGTGGAGGAGCCCTGTCTTGCACGCAAATCAAATTTTCAACATTGTCCCAAGCACTGATAACGGGACAGATTTCATCTCGCCACGATGGTGGCAAGGTGCCTTTCATCATGAATGAATGGCCCCTACAATCTTGTCCAAAGTCATACGCCAGCACCCCTAATGTGAGCACGGCCACCGTCGTACACGAGTGACGCAGCCTTACTTTGTCAAATGTTGCAGTGTGGAGTGTTTGCACGGTGTCTCCCAAATCCAACAGCTGCATTTAATCAGCCCCCCCATTTTTAATCGTCCCACAGCAACACGCATCCCAGCTCGGATACTGCTTTATTTTCTAGTGACAGCAGATTTACAAGGCAGGAAATGAGAGTGCTTCAGTCTGACAAAAGCACCATTGAACTTTGATTGTTTTCACCTCTTGTGCTTTGTGTTCCGACATTGATATTTTAAGTTGTGCAAAATGAAAGTGGAACGTCAATGACTGCACACAAGGAGCATATGCTTTCTGCCGCCCCCCCAGCATTCCTGATGGCTAAATGTGATTCCCTGACTAGACTTGTTTGCGGCAGACTGTGCATCTGGTACTTGGGCCTCCAGTGAGGATATACCTGACTTAATCCATCTTAACTGTCACGTCACATTTACAGAAACCGTCACATTTATAGAAACCCGAAATAAAAACACAATATAACTACTCGCAACTGTGCTATGTAAACAGAAAAGGTACCTTGATGTCAAAAGCGAAGGAGCCTCGTCTATAATGCAATTCGAAAACAATATTTATCTCATGACACAATAAAAGCAGGGTGGTCCAGTGGTTAGCGCGTCGACCTCACAGTGCAGAGGTGCAGGGTTCGATTCCGACTCCGGCCTTCCTGTGTGGAGGTTGCTTGTTCTCCCCAGGCCTGCGTGGGTTTTCTCCGGGTTCTCCGGTTTCCTCCCACATTCCAAAAACATGCATGGCAGGCTGATTGAACACTCTAAATTGTCTCTAGGTGTGAGTGTGAGCGCGGGTGGTTGTTCGTATCTGTGTGCCCTGCGATTGGCTGGCAACCGGTTCAGGGTGTCCCCTGCCTACTGCCCGAAGACAGCTGGGATAGGCTCCAGTATCCCCGCGTGACCCTTGTGAGGATAAAGCGGTTCAGAAAATGGACGGATGGACAATAAAAGCAGGTATTGAAATAAGATCATATTAATGTGTGCATCACACTGCAGCTGTGTTTTGCGATTCGAAATTGGTTTGAACCCGTTTTCCTCAACCAACCTATCTGAGGATGGGAAAACCGCTGAGGTCATTCAGGGTCAACTTGCTGGCCTCGGCTGACCTTGTGAGGATGAATTGACATTGGTTCAAGAAATACTCCCCTTGCTAATATAGTTTAAGTTGATGTTAGCCAGCACTACTGATCCTGAAGGCCCCCCGTGCACATTACATTATGTCGTGCTCGTGATAGTGTTGAAGACGTCAAAGAAGGCCTGGCTGACAGTAAGTCATGGGAATCGATTTCCACCACAGACCGTGTCAAACAAGCCCGGTTGGTTGGAGAAATAGCCGCCTACAAGTACTGACGAGTGCCCGTGTGGCACACCTGCAAGCACCGAGACCGCAAACATTCTCTGGCATCGTGACAGTGAGTGATGGCGAGTGGTTGGCCCAGTGATTGCAGCACACGGGCCTACTTGCCAGCCGCTTCTTTGACGTCTGCGAGTCACAGCGCTCAATGTCATTGTGTTCTACTTTCACAAGTCTTTTTTTTTTTTTCTTTTCTCAGACATGTAATTATTTCCTGAAGGCTTTTCTACACACATTGTTTGTAGCAGTTGGTCAGGTAGCAGAGCAGATTTCTGCCAAGAGACTGTTTCGGTTATATTCCGCCTGTCCTTATCATCGGCTGGTGGCAGCTGGTTGTCTGCACAGGTTGTCCTTGACTCTGCAGAGCGATAGGAGGGCAACAGTGGAGAGAGTCTCTTCCTATTCAGAGTTGCACATAAAGTTAAGCGCAGACTTCATTTTTAAGTTCTGTCAAAGGCTTTGTGCTTTTTTTTCCCCCACCTCGGCCACATACAGATTTATTTTAGGACAGACTAGTTCGCCAGTATGAATTGCCTGGTACCTCAACTGCTTATTTGTATATACAATTTACAGGAGGTCATATTATACTGTATCTAATATTACTGCCAATCTGCGCTATTTGCGGGGGATAGGGACTGAGCCCTGCCACAAAACGCAAACGATTAACGCCCTCGGGAAAATCCAAATCATTGCGTGTAAACTGTAAATATACCACAAATTATGATCCCAGAAGTTTAATATGATTGCAAACTAATTTTACAACATCAGCATTGAAAATGATTGACAGATTGTCATATTCTATTGCTCATGCAGCTGAAGTAATACAGAGTCCCGATGTGCTAACGTCACTTTGCTTGTATGGGACGTCTGTAGTAATGAAGAATATTTTGAATGCCTGTTTTTTTTTTTGTTTGTTTGTTTATGGCAGTGTCAAATCAAGCCTTCCCAAATCATTCGAAGTCTGCGTGATGTACGCAGGCCTACATCTTGTTCTTCAGATCCCAATCTAGTTGAGGATGACTCAACAAAGTCCCCACGCTGTTTGCAGCCAAGTGGTGTGCTTCCGTTTTGTCGGTTGCCTTCAAGACATGATTAATCCACACTCCCAAAAAAATCATCTGTTTTCAACGCAGCATGCCCTCTATGTTTGTACACCCTGTTATCGACTGGGCGTGGAGAGGTTTGTGAAGGGAGGAACGTGGGGGGGATTGTTAGGGGAAGATTATAGATTCGGATGTGGAAGTGTAGCCTATGACACTCAGCTGATGGTGCGCTAGTTTTAATTGATGGAGCATTAAAAGGAAAAGAGCAGAACACCCTCAAGACATCAGACTCGGTTCAGCTCAACTGCCTGTTTTAAGGTGTCAAATTAGAGGAGACTCTACTTCCTGGAAACATTCCCTCACACAAAAGTAAACCATTAACCGAGTCTGGGCGCTGTGGTGCACTCTGTGCTTGTGCAAACCAGTCATGAGTTAGCAGCCAGCGTGCGGCAATCTAAAATGCTGCCGTTGTCTTCCAGAAGACGTCTCGCTGCCATTGAAGTGTTACTGTCATGTTTCCTGTGTTTGTGCGCCACCACAGTGGAAGCGACCGCATAGAAAGTTTGCAATAAAACTATAGGTCAGTCGTGTCGCAATAGGCAGGGAAGTTGGCTTTGTAGCGGTGCCTTTGTGACTGGGGTGGAGTGCATGGAGGAGTTTAGACTTGTTCTCTGCTCGGTGTCATTAACCTCCGGGGGTTTGACTTGTCCCCAAAGTGGAATTTTTCTCTGTTTCTTGGTGTTCCTTTTGTATTGTTGTTTTACAGCACGGCACTTAAAGTCCAGTTGTTTGCTATTAACAGCGTTGGATCAGCTATTTGGAAAATGTAGTTGGCTAAGGTACAAGATAAGTATTCTACTCAAAATTTGGCTGAACTACACTGAAGGATGATGATGTTTTTTTGTCAAATGTGGACTTGTGAAGCCCTTTGAGACTCTTTTGTGATCGAGGGCTACTATGTACAGTGAATAAACTTGACTTGAAGCTACCCACCAGAGACATGTATTTTGCTAAATTACAACAAAATGACAAATTCCTGTATATATGAACTACATCAAAAGGGACTCCAAGTTGATGTAGTCTCTTCAAAACAAAACAAAAATGTTCCATTTTGTAATTGTGTGCTTCGGGTGTGAACACTCAAAACAAATTTGATTCCATAGCAGCCAAAAACATGTTGCTCACTGGTGCTAGCTAGCGTTAGCTGTTGAGCTGAGGCCTCAAGAAATAGCATTTTTTTAAGGTATAGCCGTGGGGACTGACAGTCCATATACTCCTCACAATTTTGCTGACAAAGTCAAGAACAGGCTGTAACTTGAGGACACAGAAAGGGTAAATGTAGCTTCTGTGAACACCACCAAGCTTATCTCCGTGTGGTTACGAAAGAGCACCGGTTATTTAAATATCAGGTTAAAATGTCATCATGTCATTGGCTCTAACGCTACTCTTCATATCCATCATGTGTGTGTGGGGTTTTTTTTCTGTTCTGTCCACAGGTCAAAGCTTCAGGCAAGGTGCTATTCGACCTGGTGTGCAGGCACATGAATCTCATCGAGGGCGATTACTTTGGCTTGGAGTATCAGAGCCATCAAAAGATGATGGTGAGCGAGAAGGACAACTTAAGTGAACTGGATAACTGGAACGTTTTAACAAGCCAGGAATTCTCTCTCTATCAGAACAATAACATGGTGATGTTATCTTCTCCATAGGTTTGGTTGGATCCTATCAAGCCTATTATCAAGCAGCTGAGACGTGAGTGTTTTTCTTTTTTTTTTTTTTTTTTTTGCGGTGTTCCCATATGGAGGTTTTCATCAAGGTGCAAATCTGACACGGTCCTGGCAATTTCTATTTTGATACCTCATATGTTCCTAACAGGACCGAAGCACACAGTGTTGAGGTTTGCTGTGAAATATTTTCCTCCAGACCATGCCCAGCTGCTGGAAGAGCTGACTCGGTGAGTTTCTTTCCACAATATTAATACTATCTTCGGCTCATTAAGTAGGCTCCACTTTGAACAATGACAAGTTTAAAGATATGCGAGCTGGATGTCCAGTGAAAGTTTCAACGGTGAACGCATCGCAGGTTGCACAATTTGCAGTTGCACCCATTTTTGGGGTGAAAAATAAGAGTTGCAAAACACTTGGCACTCACAGAGTGACTGAAGAATTTACTTCTATGGATGTTTTTTTTTGGCTCCTTCTCCAAGGATGCACAGCACAGTAATCCAAAACTTTATTGTACAGTGGAATAGGGCGGTTCTCTGATACTCAAAATCACCTGAAAAACATCCAAAATGGAACCATCTAGCGCTATGTTCTTTTCCAGGTACTTGTTTGCCCTCCAAATCAAACAGGACCTTTCCAGTGGCCATCTGACGTGCAATGACACCAGTGCTGCGTTGATGGTGTCCCACATTATGCAGTGTGAGTGCTATAGGGTTCCTTTTTAAAAAAAATTTTTGTTTTCAGTCCAAAAATAAGTGGACAAAGTGTGTCATCGATTTATGTCTCACAATCATCTGATTTCTATTTTCGCATTTTAGCATTCTCGACATCTGCGCCATTCTGCATGTTACTTTCTCAGAAACCTGACATTTGTTTGCTGCAGCGTATTTTTCATGACTTTTTTTTTTCCATTGTTTCTACTGCTCTTTTCACTTAAGCTTGTTGTTTCTTACTTTGCAGCTGAGATTGGAGACTTTGACGAGGGCCAGTGCCGGTCACACCTCCTCAATAATAAGTACATCCCCGATCAGATGCCCTTGATTGACAAGATCATGGAGTTCCACTCGATGAATGTGTAAGCACGGTGTGCTGTCCTGTTTATTTTTAAGTCAGTTGCAAAACACAGATCCAATCACTTAAGTTATTCTCTCTGATTTTTATTTCAAAAGATATCATTTGACTTCAATACTAAATGCTTTGTGTAAAAGGGAATGGCTGACTTGCACACGAAAATATTGCACTACTTGGTCACGCAGCAGAGGATATTCCCTTCAGTCTAGCGTCCGCGCATGGATTTGCATTCGTCTGCTGCTTAATGAAAATCTCTTCACACACCAAATAATTCACAGTCGTCCTCAGCCCGCTTCAGATTTTTAGGGTCAATTCTGGGTTGTTGAGTGAAGTCAAGAGTCCTTTTTCCACCGGGTTTGAATTCAAGCCAGAAGCATCTCCTCAAACTGATGGACTCGCTGCGAGTGAATGGATGCTCATCAAAAGGAGCTCCTTTTTAATGTACCGGTACTCTTTTCTCTCACTTGCTTCCCCCCCTCCCCCTCCTCCCCCCGTCCCCCCGGAGGCGTCGTTGATAACTAAAGCCGCCGTTCTCGTAGCGGTGGTGCCACGTGAAGATAAGCCGCTCATTAATCACCGAATGCAAGCGGAACGAACGCTTCCTTGCTGATAAGAATTCCGAAAAGTTGCTTCTTCCTTTCACGACAACTTTTCGCAAAATTGCGCATAAACACAGTTGCCCCCGCCTGCCTTCACACAATTGTGCTTATGATTGATGGATGGCACGCTGAAATGTAATTGTCTTACTGTATTTGCAAGTACCGCACACAACTCTTCTGTTGGATTTTTGTGTCGTTAGAGGTCAGACACCGGCCGAATCCGACTTCCAATTGCTGGAAGTGGCGCGCCGCCTGGAGATGTACGGGATTCGTCTCCACCCAGCCAAAGACCGCGAGGGCTCGCGTTTAAGCCTTGCCGTGGCGCACACGGGCGTGCTGGTCTTTCAGGTGGGCTTCACCAAAAATTGGCCGTCATTTCGATCCCGCGCTCACTTGATTGTGTTCATCTCCGTAGGGACACACAAAGATAAACTCTTTCAACTGGTCTAAAATACGGAAACTGAGCTTCAAGAGGAAACGTTTCCTCATCAAGCTGAGGGCTGATGGGAATGTAAGTTTATTCCCTGAAAGAGATTGTCTCAGAAAAGGCCAAATGTCGCAAATCTTTGAGTGTGTGTGTGTGTGTGTGTGTGTGTGTGTGTGTGTGTGTGTGTG